GAAATAATGAAAGAAAAAGTATTTGAATCACTTCGTTTTTAATTAACGAGAGACTTTCGATCGAACGCTTTGGATCGAAGACGACGAGAAAAGAAATGAATTGTACGTGTCATTTATGAAATTTCGATCGATCGATCGATCGATCGATCGTTCAAATCTAGATATTATTTTCAAGATCGTTATAATAAGAAGGTATTGCGAATATGGACCCAAAAAAAAAAAAAAAGAAAAAAAAGAAAAAAAAAAAAGAAATAATCTATTCTATCTCGAATAAAAATGAAGGAAACGAAAGGAAGTAGTAGAGTGGGAAGAAAGGACGAAAGGGCGAAAGAAAAATAATACAAAAAAAAAATAATAATAAAAAAGAAAAAAAAAAGAAAAAAAAAACAAAAAAAAAAAGGAAGAAGAAAGAAAGAAGAAGAAGAAGAAAAAAGAAAAAGAAATGAGTTGGCTGAGGGATCGGCAAATACTTAAAGGCAGGTGTAAGCCGTCCATGATGCCCAGCTGCCTCTGTTAACTATAACTATACCATACGTATACACCCTTCGTGAAGCCCTTCGTCCTTTTACTACTACTATCCTTACGAGTTCGAAAAAAATGAAATAAAATTCAAACGTAAAGAAAAAAAAAAATGAAATAGAAGGAAGGAAAGAAAAAACGATGAAACGAAGAAGAAGGAGAAAAATATTGCGAGCGAACGAGCAACAGCTGCCGTCTCGATCTACCGTGGGTGGTATGTGTATAATGATCCAATGCATTTCTCAAGGTCATCATGGTTCTTTCTCTTTTATAAAGACGACACTATGTTAAGTCTCGAATCAACGTCCGGTCTTAATAATCGTTTATAAGGGTTATATCTTATTATTACGTTTTTCACCAGATGCTGTCTGGAATACTTTATTATAAAAATCTTCACTCTGTTATTATTGTCATTGTTGTCATTGTTGTTATTGTTGTTATTGTTATTTATATATATATATATATATATATATATAGGGATTTTTATACATATTCACATTGAAGATTTTGATATTAATTATCAATGTTTTTTTTTGGTTCTTTTTTTTTTCTTCTTCTTCTTTTTTTCTTTTTTTTTTCCATGAAATTTCATTCGAGAAATTTGAATCTCAACGAATCGGTGATAAAAATTAAATTAAAAAAAGAAAAAAAAGAAAAAAAAAGAATAAAAGAAAATAGAAAAAGAAAAAATATAGAAAAAAGAATTTCGTAGTATTGAAATCTTTATTCTAAACGTTCTAATATAAAGTCGAATGAAGATCATTTATCATCGATATAGATCATTTAAAATCTGATAAAAAGATTCATTCATTTCAATTCTCAATAATCTAATAATAATAATAATAATAATAATAATAATAATAATAATAATAATAATAATAATAATAATAATAATAATAATAATAATGATAATAATCATCATCCTTTAATATTAATAATAATTCCAATAAATAATCTAATAATAATAATAATAATAATAATAATAATAATAATAATAATAATAATTCTCTAATATTCGATATCAAAATAGATCAAATAATCTTATTTAACTACCGAAAACGATTTATTGATCGAACGAACGAACGAACGAACGAACGAACGAACAAACGATCGAACGAAAGAACGATCAATCGATCGATCGTGATTTCGAGATGGATCACGGATCGAAAAGTAGGACGATTCAATTTCGATTTTGAAATATAAATCCTCAAAAGATCGATCTATCCTTCTATCGATCGTTTAACGAGACTGTCCTCGTTTCGCAAATGAATCTCTCTCTCTCTCTCTCTCTCTCTCTCTCCCTCTCTTTCTCTCTTTCTCTCTCTTATTACACAAATCATTGATTACTATTTTCTTTTCGCAAAGAAGAAAAGATTTTCCGTTATTCTTCGAACTAGCAGTAATACTCGAAGAAGAAGAAAGAAGAAAGAAGAAAGATGAAGATAGAAGAAGATAGAAGTAGAAAGAAGAAAAATGAAGATGGAAGAAGAAGAAGAAGAAGAAGAAAGAAGAAAGATGAAGTTAGAAGAAGAAGAAGACGAAGAAGAAGAAGAAGAAGAAGACGAAGAGGAATATCATAAAGCATGGTTTTCCTTCAAAGTCACAAGGAATCTAATCTTGCTTAGGATTGACCTAACGGAATGAGAACGATTCCTTTGAAACCGGTTTGTTTGTATTTATATAGACACATATGTTAGACTATCAAGCCAAATTTGTTGTCTAGACGATCGATCGCCAAGATGAGATCCCTACGATAGATCCTATCAAGTTCTGCTTGATCTAAATCTAATATTATTAATTCGCATTTTCTTAATCTACGAAAAATTATTATCATTATTATTATCATTATTATTATTATTATTATTATTATTATTATTATTATTATTATTATTATTATTATTTTTATTATTATTATCTTTCTTTTTTCCTTTTCTTTTCTTTATTTATCATCATTTTTCAATTCTAATATTATAATATAATC